AGCCCAGTGACGGCCAGATGCTGCAGGGAGGGGAGCACAGCACCGGGGTGCCCTGGGGGTGCTCGGTGTGGCTTCCGGGTGAGCAGGAGGCAGTGGGTGAGCCCGGCGCGTAGTGTCGGGAGTTGACTGTCCGGGAGTCCTCTGGGCAGAGCCTGGAGACGTCAGTGTGACAGCCGGTGTACAAGAGGCCGCAGACATTGTGGGTGTCAGTGATGCTGTCTGGAGGGCCGGACACGAGGGAGGCAGTGGTGTGGGGGACACCAGCCCTCGACGGGTGGAGAGGCTGAGACCGTGCTAGCTCGTGGGGCACGGGAACAGAGGAAGGGAGAGAGTGTCGCCAGGAGTCAGACACGAATGAGAACGTACTGTAACCCCACGTGTGTAGAAGTCACGGCCAGGCAGAAGCAGGTACAGGAACAGAGGTGACAGCAGAGGTGCCCTGAGAGGGACACCAACGGAGGGGTCACAAGGCTGACTCCCGAGAGCCGGGAATGTCGCGTCTTCCTCTGGAGGGTGGCTGCGTGGGTGTGCACGTGTGTGCACATATACACAAACTCACCAGGACTTGTGCACTTTTTGCAAGTTACACCTTTAAAAAAATCACTAAACACAAGGAAGGAGGAGGGCCAGGAGGAGGGAGGGGAGGAGCGGTGGAAGGAACCTGGAGGAGCGGTCAGAAGATAGGGTTCTCAGAAAGAGGATGACGACCAGTGACACACGCCACGGCACGGGAGGCTGCCCTGCCAGCCCTCATGCTCGCCGCCGTGTCCCTTGCACTTTGAGTGAGTGGCACAGAACAGACCCTGTCACGAGCTCAGGAGGTGGGGAGAGTCAGGACAAGGCACACCTCTCAGGTCTTTTCCACCGTCCCCTGCGGTGTGAAGGCCCCGGCTGCGGCTTTCCGGGAGCCCTCCCAGCCAAATCCCTGTGTTTAAATTTGATAATGTTTAATACAAAATGTAATTGGCTGCTATAATGGAAAACATGTCCTTCTGTCCTAGCGGGAGGATTTCCCAGAGAAACCACTTGAGCCGTGGTGGCTGTGCACGCCGCCTCGTGCAATCTGTCGCTGCTCCTTACAATCTGTCACGGCTCAGCTTCCGGGGCAGACGCCGCTCACGGCGACGTGGGCCCAGCCAGTGCTCCGGGGGACGCAAGGACAGCCGACTGCTTGTTCACTCATGTCCACGATGGGGGGAGGCCTTCACGGAGCTGGTGGGTAAAGCCCACAGGCTCGCCGGGATGTCTCCCCCGCTTTGGTTGGATGCTCTGGTGGGCAAGGCCCTGGGCCTCCTCTCTCTCCTCCCTGAGGCCTGGACCAGCACGCAGAGCTCAAGCTCCCTTCACCCACCTGGAGGAGGCTTTCACGGGATCGAGTCCTCGCCCTGGGTTCGGCGCCAAGGCCCCAGGGTCTTGCAAGAGCACCGGGCCCAGCAAGGGGATCTCGGCTCAGCTCGGAACGAATTCATCTTTTAAATGGAAACGTCAGAGGCTGGTGAGCGTTCCTGCTAGTGATTCTGGCGGGGAGATATTCACGGGCAGCGAGCAGCAGGCTGCAGGAAAATGGATTTGGCGATAAGGCAGGGCCTGTCACCCTAGGGAGAGACCGATCACCTTTCCTCAGTGACACAGCAACCTCGGGGCCTGCAGAGAGACCGAACTGCTTTCCCTTCCCATTTCTGAATTCTGAATAAAGGAAGGTGCTTCAGCCCAAACACCAGGGAAGGCGGAGGCTGCCGGGCCTCGGGGAGGTTCCCAAGGAGGACAGGGGCGTGCAGCACTGAGCCCAGTCACAGGCAGGACCAGCATGGGGAGGCGGGGGTAGAGGTGTGTGTGCAGAGAGTGGGGAGGAAAGCCCTGCACGCTGATAAGGATGTCCTTCCCCGGCCAGGAGCGTGCGGAGCTGTGCTATGTGGCAACCAGCTGTCACGGGGGCCAGAAGACACATTCTCGGTGCTCTCAGCTGCCTGTCATCCTGATGTCCCAGATGTTGAGCTTCTGCCCACCCTTGGGCTGACACCCGTGCCTGGCCTGGGCTTCCTTCGTGCCCAGCCACAGCAGCGACAGCAGAGCAGGTGCCAGGCCCATCACAGGCAGTATTTCTGCAACCTGGCAGTGGGCATCTCAGGTCCAAGGGCAGAGGCCATTGGAAGAGGCTTCCTTGCGATAAGGCCCATTTTCCTCTAAGTTCTCTTCAAAAGCATTGAGAAGGTAATACTTCTACATCATTACTTACTTATTTTTTTTTAATAGGATAGGGTTTTTTTGGGGCAGGGGGTGGTCTCACTCTGTCGCCCAGGCTGGAGCGCAGTGGCACGATCACGGCTCACCGTAGCCTTAACCTCCTGGGTTCAGGCAATTCTTCCACCTCAGCCTTCCCTGAGTAGTTGGGACTACAGGCGCATGCCACCACACTGGGCTAATTTAAAAAAACATTTTTTGTAGAGATGAGGCTTCACTATGTTTCCTAGGCTGGTCTTGAATTCCTAGACCCAAGCAATCCTCCTGCCTCAGCCTCCCAAAGTGCTGGGATTACAGGTGTGAGCCACTATGCTCACCCCCATTATCACACTTTTAAAAATTAGTGATAATTGCCTAACGTTACCAAATGCCAATTGAGTATTCACATTTACCAAAATGTCTCCTTTTTTTTTTCCCCTGTAGTTTGACTCAGGGCCCAACAAGGCTCATGGTGGATTTTTAAATCCTGATGCTTTGTGATATAAAGGAGCAAGGACTGGGGACAAATGATTGCTTGCCTTTTAAAAACGTGACATCAGCATCCAGTAATGAATATGGCTTGACTTGGATTGTAAGTTGTTTGAAAAGGTGCAGTGTTCAGTAAGCTGTGGTCTCCCAAGGACGGCAGGAGTCCAGCGAACAGGGACATGACACAGGCAGACATTTTCCAGAAGAGATGATGGAACTCTCCTCCTGTTTGCTCTTCTCCCTGTTCCTGTGGTTGATAAAGTTTGTCTTCTATCAGAGCCTTCAAGGCTGTTACAGGGACCTGTTAATGAAAGTTGAGTGGAAATCCAGGTTTCCTTTGGAAAAGGTGAACCAATTAGCACCAAGCACTGTCATTGAGCCCGCGAGAGCTGGCTGCCCCTTCACACTTTTTTTTTTTTGAATAAACACCTGGAAACCTGTCCTTTTTTTTTTTTAGGAATCAGAGTCTCACTCTGTCACCCAGGCTGGAGTGCAGTGGCACGCTCACGGCCACCGCAGCCTCAACCTGCTGGGCTCAGGTGATCCTTCCACCTCAGCCTTCCAAGTAGCTGGAACCACAGGCAGGAGCCATCACACCCAGCTGACTTTTAAAAAATGTATTCTAGAGACATGGTCTCGCCACATTGCCCAGGCTGATCTTGAACCTCTGGGCTCAGACAATCCCTCCCTCCACCTCCCAAAGTGCTGGGATTATAGGCATGAGCCACTGCTCCCGGCTGAAATCCTTCTACTTCAATGGTCCCTGAACAAAGGGGACGTTTCCAGCAGGGCCCGGTTTCAGCGATGGCGACCCAGATGTGTGGCATCACTCCAGCAGCGGATGTGCCCACTCTGGGATTGAGGCCTGGGATGGACACAGGCTCCCTTGCTTCCCATCTACGGTCTCCACCCTCGACCTTTCCTGCTTCCCAGTTTTGAGCATCTCTCCCGGTGTCGAGGAAGAAGGGCAGACCTCGACTTTTTAACACATGAGGTCTTGGCACAGTCGTTCTCTAGCTAAACGAACAAGGGCCGGTGACTACATCTCCCAAACTCTTGTCCTCCTCCGCAGGGCCACCTCTCACATCCCCGAGCTGGGTGCCGGGATGCCTGGCCCGCAGCAGGTGCTCCTGGCAGCTCCTCTCCCTCCACATCTGCTCATCTTCTCAGTCCTAAAAGCGTGACCTTACTACTCTCTTCTTTTCTAAGCTATAAGCCAAAATCTAGTTCCTAGGAGAGTCACACTAACACAACACCCCAGCGTGTCCAAAGTCAAATTCATCACTTCCCCATAGATGGGTTTGTTTTCTGGATTTCCTTTTTAACTTTTTTTTTTTTTGAGTTGGAGTCTCACTCCATCACCCAGGCTGGAGTGCAGTGGCATGCTCACGGCCACCCCAGCGTTGACCTGCTGGGCTCTGGTGATCCTTCCGCCTCAGCCTTCCAAGGAGCCAGAACTACAGGTGTGTGCTACCATGCCTGGCTAATTTTTTTTTTTATCTTTTAATGTAGAGATGAGGTCTAACCAAGTTGTCCAGGCTGCTCTCGAACCCGTGGGCTCAGGCAATCCACTCACCTCAGCCTCCCAAAGCACTGGGATTACAGGCTTGAGCCACCACGCCCGGGCTTCCTTTTTATTAAGAAAAATCACATTGTTTAGCGGGCTTGTTCTGGTGCCTATCAGCCCTTCTGTCTCAGTGACGATGGAATTTCCACCCCATGTAGCCTTTCATGGGTTAGTCTGTAAGTGGCTGTGAACATTGTCACTAAAGATGAATGTGACAAAGATGAAAACCCCATGGCTTTCATGATCGTCCAACTGGAGAATGTGTGGAATACTCTCAACCTGTTCTTCATACAGAAACATTGGCAGCGGCCGATTTACGGCTTGGTACATAGAGGAACCATGTCACCAAGCAACACGGCAGAGGTGGAGAAAGCAGAGACCGCCATGGCATAGTGTTCAAGAACTTCACAGTGGCTGACACTGCGCGGCAGCCTTGGTTAACCTGGCGGGTAACCAAGATCATCAGGACTATTCAGCATTAAACATTAGAGAAATGTTGACAAATAAAATGAAGCCATTCTTCTATTTGATGGGAGCATAAATCAGAAGTAATTATGACAGAAGCATAACATTATGAGATGGAGTTTGTTACCACCAGAATGATTTTATCCATAGCAACAGCAGTAGCCAACTGATGTTTCCTTTTGAATTGTCATATCTTCTGGTGACTGGATGGCCATGGAAACTAGCAGTATAAATGAAGAAAGAGTTAAGACACCCTTAGAGACAAAGGAAACATTTTGATGATTTTATTTTTTAATCTTCAAAAATTTCTGCCATGAGACAGGAATGCATGATAGAAATGGCTCAACATCTTCACATGAAACACTTGGATTCATTTTCATTCACAAGTTTTTCTGAAAACATCTATAATTTCAAAATCCCACCCACTTCCAACCATTATCACAGATTTAGCTGACCATTAAACAGTAGTTGCCAGCATTAGATTGCTGGAACGCTCTCTGCGTATTAGCAGTGTCTTCTGAAACTACCACCCAAGAGTATCATGATTATAAATCTTATTGTACATGACACCCAAAGGTGACTGATGTCCTCAAATCAACTCCCTGCTTATCACCAGGTTCTTAACGAAATGCTCTTTCTTCTCCAAGAATGGTTTGTTGATCTCAGAATATTTTTCTTGCAGGGAGCAGCACAAGCTGACCTGATGATCCAATCGTCACTGCGAACAGGTGGGCATATATACCTGATACTGGTGCTCTCTGATAACTATGTACAGAACATACTGAAAAAAGCTGGGTTGCTTGCAACCTATATCTCTTCTTTTGAAGAGAACTACTTTGAGGTTTTTTTTTTTTTGAACAGTTGTAAACAAAAGGAAAGAGATACATACAGACATCTGTCTGTACACAGAGATCTGAGTATTTTCAAAGTGGCGCATATCTTCTTATCTAGAGATACACACAGAGTTAAGTGTCTCCACTTGCCCTTTCACACACTCACACCCTTCCACACAGCGTGTGAATATAAATGTTGTGTCCTTGGGAGTTCCCTAGATTTTTCATATTACCAAATGATGATGAAATACCTGATTTGTATTACTCCTGAGAAGATACTAGAAGGGAATGACAGTTCTGATGCACTTTGGAATGGCACAATCACGTAAACGCTTGCATACTTAAGACTTCTGAACTCATCCAAAGTTTCTAAACATAGTCCAACCAAAAAAAACAGTATCAAAACAATGCAGCAAGTTAAAAAATAAAACAAATTTTTTTATAATCAAAGTATAAACAAATATATAGGAAATACATATTTGTCAGTAATTATTTTTAAAGTAGAAAACATATACTTAAGAAAAACACAGTTGGCCAATAAAACCAAAAAACACAACTTTCCAATGCATAATAATACATGCATTGCCCCAAAGAACAGGACAGCCACCTTAGACTTGCAAAGCTTCTTATAGCAACTCCACCAAAAAAACTGACTTCCTACATAGCAAGTCTATTAAGTATGCAATAGATAAAAAAATTATTGTGACTGTAACTTTATACTTCTGTAAAAAAAAAAAAAAAAGAATTTGTAATTTACTGAGTATTTTATCCCTCGGTATAATTAGTTTGTATAAAAATTACAACTAAACCAATGAATTTCAAGCACCAATTCAATCATTTAAACTTACTGTGTTTATATTTCTCCTATCATAGAGGGAACAAATTACAATGAAAGCTAAGCTAAAATTAGCCAGGTAATTATTACAGTTTAGTTTTAAAGGCATGTGGTTTTTTTCTTCCATTCACTTGAATGCCAAACTTCTGAGAATGTTCTGGCTAGGAAAGGACTCCTTGGAGGACGCTCTCATTTCCGAGTATCAATGGTCTAATATACATGGAAAGCTCTTTAACAAACCAAAGCTCTCTTTGTTCTAGGATAAAAGAGATTTGCACAGAAGAAATTAAGAGGCTGTTGCTCATTATGACGGGAAAGGCAGCACCTAGTAGTAGACTGAGAGCACATCTGGATGTCTACGGTAGTGTCGGGAGGCGGCGCTGTAACCAAGAAGGCAACACCATTGCACTTGGCAACACTGGAGTTTTTCTTAACTAAAAAACTTCCATCAGACCTTTGGGGTGGGAGGATATCTCACTAAGAGCACATTTTTTTCTTCTGGTTCCTTTTCTGCATCAGGAAAGAAAGCAGTACAGTCTGAGCCAGCAGATGAGTAACAGTGTTTGGGATGCCTCTGGTTGTTCCTGAAGCAAACACGTTCAGATAACAAGGGGGTTTATTTTCAAAATCAATACAACTGCTGTTTTCATTCCAGTATTTATATCACACCACTTACATACACGGTAATTTCTGAGACACAATGCATGTTTCAGTCTTCTCCTACTCTTAAGGTTGGTTACTTTTCAATGCACACCAAACTGAACCTTCAGGTCAGCTGCATTTGAGAGACTGAAGATATGACTATTGAGGAAAACAGACCACAAGGAAACCGAAATCTCCACTGACAGCGAATCTCCATCACTGCCCATCCTGTTATCTGAACTTCACCACAAAACCACACGCAGCGCAAGGAGACTTCGGGCGTTAGGACAGGGGCGGAGGGTCCCGCGGGTCCTCGGGAGGGGCCGCCTCGCCCTGCTCCTCGCTGGCCTCGGGGGACGGCTCCTCAGAAGCGGGCTCGCCCAGGTCTTCACTGCCCCCTTCGCTCTGCTCCTCGCTGTGGTCTTCGCCCGGCTCCCCAGGCTGTTCCAGGCTGTTCTCCAGAAGCGTGGGAGAGCTGCTTATTCTACTTTCCTCTTCAGCTGTCACATTTAAGGGCTGGGAAGGAGGCGGCGTGGGAGTTTTAGACTGGATGGCACTTTCAATGGAGGAGAGGGGGGCTTTGGTTAGAGTTGTATCTGCTACAATCTCATTCTGGGGCAAAGACAACTTTTCCACCAGTTTCCACTGAATGATGCTCATGTCTTTTCCACCAGTTGAAATGAGGTGACTGTCATTATGAGTAAAGCTGACATTGGTGACATGGCTGCTGTGGGCACTGTACTTGTGGCTGGGAGCCTGTATGAAATAAATCAGACAGGAAAGTTAAACCCGTTCTTTAAGTGCCTGCTGACAGAAACGGAGGTGACCAGGTAAGGGGGTCACTCGGCTTGTGAAATGGATCATTCAAATCAAAGCCATAGGTCCTCAAATCTCAGGAATAGGCTGGCAGTAATTTCCTTTTAAGGTCACTTTACATGGGAAGAAACAAAATAGAATAATTGGACATCTTTTATTTCCACACAATATGCTTGAAAAAATAACTACAAGTCTGTCTCTTCTAGATGCTGGGAAGCATACTCATCAGAGCTTAGTAATCATTCCTTGGAAATGGCTAGGGGAGAAGTTACTAGGTTGGCAGGATTATAGGAGAATTAGGAATCAGTTCCCTTAGCTTCATAACACTGACTGTGTGTCTAACAAGTGCAATATTTTAATGTTTAGGGTAAATTGAAAATTTCCAAAAAGTCAAAATAAGCAAATGAACAAAAACACGAAAGGAGTAACACAGCACCAGCTATTATCTCTATGGTTCTTCTGCTCAGCCTTGGGGAGGAGGAAGGGGACCAGTGGCACCTGCTTGGACACTCTTAGCCCTGTTCTCCCTCTGGGTATTGGAGGATTATGGAGAGTCACTACTAAACTACAAATGTTTTCTTGCCATTGACACAAATCAACCCCAAACAAAAGGTCCTATAACACTAGTTTCTATTAAAGGGAGCTTACCTTCGCTTTGGAGCAGGGATACTGAAATAGATGGACTTTACAAAAGTCATCGGCCACAGCTATCACTTTCCTATTGTGGGACCGCACCAGTGCATTGATATCTGTGCCATCGGACCCTTCTGGCCAGACACCTTTGATATGGAAACATGGATGTGGAAAAATTAGCCTAAAAATGTAACTGCGATGCTACATGTTTGATTTTAGAACTTGATGAAATTTATCTATGTTCAAACTCTTAATGCTAACTTTTCCCTTACAAATTTCTTAGTGGCTCAACAGTTTTTTATTCAAATGATGATGAAGTTTTAGCCAAAATTTAACCATTTGCACATGGAAACATCTTGAGGATCACCTACTAGTTCCTCGACTGCACTTTTTTTTTTTTATACAAAATAGTGAAAAATGAATCACTTCATATTAAATAGCATAGTGCTGGAACAAATTATTTTACTGTAATGATATTTGGTTTCTAATAGAATGTAGGACATTGAGGAATTTATAACCAAAAAAGTCAAAATGTTATATCTTATATTTTTTCTAGTGTATGGTAACATGTGAAACAGTCATGGACACGCACTGCAATAGTAATATGTTTGATGTCTTCCACTTTGTGTTCTTCTATTTGAGCAGAGAATGCAGTCTCGTTTTTTTCTCCCACATTAATAATATGTAATTTATCATCTAGTCTGCTGTTCGAAGATGATGTGGAAAGAGGCACTCATGATTCCTGAAAAACACTTCTCAACTGCTCAATCATATCTCAGTATATATTCCATCTCTTTATTTGCTTTTTCATACAATTTGAATAAAAAACTACAAGGAAATATACATTTTTGAAAAATCTGTGCTGGCATAAGTCTATCCTGTATCATCACCAGCAATCTCTTTATGTCCTGAGAGGGGACATCAGTGCAAAGGGTTAACTAACAAAGCTAAAACAAAGCCTGAAGACAGTAAACTTGAGACTAATACTCCACAGTAACCAGCAGGTGGTGCTACTAATTTATTTTTGTTTCCGCTTGACTCACCTCAGCAATAAGCTTTTCCTTTTTTTTTTTTTGAGTTGGAGTCTCACTCTGTCGCCCAGACAGGGATGCAGTGGCCGCTACCGGCCACCGCAACCTCGACTTGCTGGGCTCCGGCGATCCTTCCGCCTCAGCCTTCCAAGTAGCTGGAATTACAGGTGCGCGCTACCACACCCGGCTGATTTTTTGATTTATTGTAGAGATGAGGTCTCGCTGCCCAGGCGGGTCTCGAACCCGCGGACTTGGGCAATCCACTCACCTCAGCCTCCCAAAGCCTGGGATTACAGGCTGAGCCACCGAGCCCAGCTAACTGTGCACTTTCAACAGGTGCATTGGATGGTATGTGAACATGTAATAAAGCTACTTTTAAAATGCTGTCAGCAAATTTTTAAAATTTTAATTTTTACTTGGAGAAAAAAAAGGGAAGACAGTCTGTACTACTATGTAAATTCCTTATAACTGTCTTTCATATTTACTGGGGACTAAAGTGCTAGATTCTGCAAAGAACAAATCCCTACTGGTTCTATCCTAATACATTTGATTTCTCTGAAGCTGAATTAATTGTGATAAAACTAAAGAACACACATAAACTGCTTTTCATTTATAAACTTAAGTAAATTTATATAAAAACCCACAAACCACCTCTTCACATTGGGTGTCACATCCTTACCAAAGACTTGAAAGCCTAGCACACAGGTGTATGTTGTCCAATCGATGTCCTTACACTCTGAGCGATTCCTGATCAGTTTGCAGCCATTTGGAATGTCCCCTTAAATTTAGAAACAGGAAAGATGATCACAGTGCTTTTGTACAAATGTATTTGAAAGTGCATCTCGAGTTAAGCCAGCCACATTTACTTGTATTTATAATTCATTGAAAAACATGAAGACACATTTAAAAAGGACAATAAAGTGTTTAATGTGGTTTCTTGAACTACAAACTTTTTCTCATGGAAGTGTTTTTTCCCCTCTAAAAAGTATAAATTCCCATCCATTATATTCCTCTCTGCCTCCAGAAAAAGTTGTTAAATGAAAAACCATTCAGAGCAGTATCAATCCACTGAGTAATTTTGTATTGCTACCTGTGCCTTCTGTTCTGCACCATTAAATTAATTCATTACTTTCTTTGAGAAGTCAACCACCTTTGAGATTCTCATTACTTAGCTCAAACACATGCTTTGTTAGGTGAGAGAGGCCAGCATGCATCCCTGCACAAATTCCATGCAGCCTGTTCATTAGTGTCCTTGACAGACACATCTGAGCCCATATGTGACCATTCATACTTACAGTACAATATCTCATAGTCTCCCGAGTTAGACATTATATACTTGTTGTCTGGGGACCAGTCAAGGTGTGTGATGTAGCTGGAATGTCCCTAGGGACAACAAATCAATTGTTAGAAAGCAGCTAGAGTTTTGAATGAAAAACAGTTGAACAGTCAGTCAATACAGTTTTCTGAATACAAGTTCATCAGAATTCCTAAAGGATTCCTAGAGGCAGTATCCCAGCCTCTAGAACTGAATAGGTACTTAAGTTCTCTTTTACTCTGTCTTGTTGGGAGCCAAAGATGCAGGCATGTGAAGATGTCAGTAATACATGAAGAGTTCTGGCAGAAATTTGAAACTAAAGAGATCTCACTATGGTGGAAACATTAAGCACTTGGACTTGGGAGAATTCTGCTGGTCTCCCTACCTAGACACCAGAAACTAGCACCTACTACCGGCGCTAGACACTTCCAAGAAAAAACAGTCTCTTAAACTTGTTTCTTAGAGCAGTGGTCTCCAACCTTTTTGGCATCAGGAACTGGTTTCATGGAAGATAATTTTTCCATAGCTGGGGGAGGGGGATGGTGTCAGGGTGATTCAAGTTCATAACATTTGTTGTATACTTTATTATTATTATGTTGCAATTATATAATGAAACATACAGCGTCATCATCTCAGCTCTACCTCAGATCATCAGGCATTAGATTCTCATAAGGATTGTGCAACCTAGATTCACATGCGCTGTTCACAATAGGGTCTACGCTCCTAATGCTACTGCTGATTTGATAGGAGGTAGAGCTCAGGCAGTAATGCAAGTCATGGGGAGCAGCTGTAAATACAGATGAAGCTTTGCTTGCCAGCTCACAATTTACCTCTTGCTGTGCAGCCCAGGTCCTAACAGGCCAGGGACCAGTACCAGTCCCTGGGATCCCATGTCTTAGAGGACACTGCAACAGATTATCACACCCTCAAGCCCTGCTGTGCCTATTAGAGTGACTCCATTTTTGAGAATGAAGTGTTGGTTACAAGTTGTACATAAGAGATACAGTTTTCCTGAGCTGCTTCTTGACTATCCATGGTATGCTTCAGAGGCTGAGGAATATGGCACACATTTACAGTCATATGGAGGTCTCCTAGAAAAACTCTTACCTCCAAAGAATGTTCTGGGGAAAAAAATCACCCAATATTGTACCCCTTCAGAGTTCCAAATGTTGGGTTCTATAATGTTACCTCCCTAGGTAACATCACCTCAGCGTGTCCTTGTTCTAGTCAACCTGACAAAGATGGACCCTATATAACCTGATACCTTAAAACAATCCTTTTCACTTTTATCTCCTACAGTCTTTAGTGAGACACACTTAATATTTGAACCTTTTCAAATGACTAGCTTTCTGCTCACACAATTCTTTAAGCTAATATATTCAATATACCTTAGGTATAGTTGTTAATGATTTATACAGGTTTTTAATTATTACACTACCCTTCTGAAGTCTAACAACGTGTCTTAAAACCCTTCTGGAGCCGCAATCTCCACCATAGTGCTGCATGGGAAAGACACATACATAAATGAATTTATGTGAATTTGAGAATGGTGAAGTTTTCTGAAATCATAAGAGGCTAGGTAGTATACTGAAAAAACAGGCTGGAAATCACTTGTTAGGAATATAAGGGTCCTACCAACTTAATAAGAAATCAATTTCCAGAGCCTGCAAGATGCATGTGGTTACTGGATGTTTTCATACAATCCTTTCCCTAGTGCATGTGAGCCGGATGCTGGCTCTGGTGTCTGCAGAAGCCATGCTTCTAAAATGAAAAAACTGTTGCTACATGAATGAAGGATTTAACCAGATTAATCATGGCAAAGTACAATCCTCCCAGACATATTCATCCTAATGTGGAAGTACTTAAGAATATTATCTGGGCCGGGCTCAGTGGCTCAGCCTGTAATCCCAGCACTTTGGGAGGCCGAGGTGAGTGGACTGCCTGAGGCCGTGAGTTCGAGACCCGCCTGGGCAACTTGGCGAGACCTCGTCTCCACAGTAAATCGAAAATCAGCTGGGTGTGGTAGCGTACGCCTGTAGTTCCGGCCACTTGGAAGGTTGAGGCGAAAGAATCACTGGAGCCCAGCAGGTCAAGGCTGCGGTGGCCCAGAGTGTGCCAATGTATTCCAGTCTGGGCAACAGAGTGAGACTCTAACTCAAAAAAAAAAAAAAAAAAAAGAATATCATCTGCATCTCTGTGCAAAGCCCTTAATAGCATTATTTAGAAGAGCATCAAAAGCATTGTATGTAGACATAATATTCACACAGATCGCATCTGTTAGATACAGAATGTGTTCATAAGTATCTCAAAAAAGGACTGTTGAGTAGGAAAACGTCTCCAAATTTAGGAAAAACCCTGTGGAAGTTAATAACTCATTAGAAAAACAAAAGGGACATTTTCTCCCTGGAATTGATGCCAACAAACAAGCAAAGAAGATACAAGGCAACGCTGGGGTTTATAATGTCACCTCCCAGGTACCACTTCAGAGTGTCTTTTGATGGACTTGGCAGCCAATGAAAAGGCAGTTCATGTAGACTTTTCAAATGATTTTGAAGATCTCTTTGATGATTATGACATCCAGTGAGGTGCCATTCAGCTGCTGACAGAGCCAGGCCCTTGTTACAGAGCCTTCTTGGCTTCAAAGAACTGTGGAAATCACTTGAAATTAAGACCTTGCTAACCAAGAGAGAGAAGAACTGTTTTAACCCCCTGTATGATGCTGTTAATCTCTGAATGTGACCAGGTTTTGTTCTTATTTCAATTAAACAAAAGTATCATCAAATGGTTAAAAAAAAAATTTATTGTAGAGACAAGGTCTCGCCAAGTTGCCTGGGCTGGTCTTGAACCGGCAGCTCAAGCAATCCACTCACCTCGGTCTCCCAAAGTGCTGGGATTACAGGCTGAGCCACTGAGCCCGGCCAGAAGTAAGTTTTAATGAATGGAAGAGTAAAGTTCTATGAGTTTATGGAAACTCCAACGGATGTCCCCCAGTTTGGAACCTCTGAGAGCTAAACTTTAGAATTAATGCCAAATAAATCAAAGCAGGAAGAGGTAAATATGAAAGAGTCATAATGGCTTCAAGGTTGTCAATCCTATAGTATAAGCTGACTGCAGGTATGGATCTATCCAAAGAAAGCGTTCCTCAGGTGGGCTGGCAGCAGGGAGGTCAGCAAAGAGAAAGGGGCACAGAGATAGATGCGAGGAGTACCCGCCCACGTCCAGGGTAGAGGGGCCCGAACCAAGACCAGTTCCAGAGGCAGCTATTGCTCTACTGTGGAGGTAGGCACCAGATTTGCTCACCTTTTGATTATGTTCTGGTTTCCTGTACTTTCCCCCCAAAGGGAAGAACCGCACTGGCTGGAGGATGCTCATGTCCTGTGCCCTTGGTGATTATATACCTTACTTCAAATGCAGGGTGACATTCTCACTGAAGTTGGCTATTGGTTTCCTGAGGTCTGCTTAGAGAGACAACTTTGACTGGCCAGAAGAACCTAGGATTTTAGTGGCCTTACCAGTTATAGTGCTTGTTGTAAACTGGCATTTTTATAAACCAGCTTTGGAGAGCTTGTTTGATGTAAGTCCATCACTCTAAAATTGATCTTGCCTTGTTTCTTTGCTTATGAGGCTGCAAGCAAGGTCCTGGCCTATAATGACGTCATCATTCACAGGGACCCATGCACCCACCAACAGCCCTCTACCAAGAAGTACTGCTTCGCATCATTGGACCCCAGTCATCTTTTCAATGGACAGTTCCACATAAAGTGATACCACAAAGAGGGACTCCAAATGCTTATAACTCATTTATCAGAGGAAATTTTCTAAAGCTCTAAGCCTGGTATGCCTCTGTAGCTACTGAAATGTCGCTTAAATGGTGGCTGGTAACAGGAAAATTATTAGAAAAAAACCAGAAAACAGTATTTGCATTTAGAATTCTATAGGAGTTCTTGTTGATATATTTTAGGAAAGACCTTCTTCACAACAGTGCTATAAAGTAGATACTATTATCCTCTCCAATTTTAAGATGATAAAAATTAAGACCAAGAGATGTTAATTAACTTGCCTAAAGTAATAAACTAGTAAGCAGCAGAGCCAGCATTAACCCAGTTTTGTGTATCCTATACTACAGCAGACAACAGATAAAAAACAGTTAATAGGGGACCATAAGACCAGATGGTGGAAACAGACAGCAAGAAGTAACAGCTGGGAGCAAAGCAAAACAGAAGATAATCAGGACCGCAGAGTAGCTGAGTCTTTCATTATAGCCTCAAACAACACCACAGACTCTAACAGGTCCTATGGATGTTTTGAAATAATACTTTTGAACACTTTAAAGTTAAAAGCTGGAGCAGGACAAGTCTCATGCAATTATAAACTTGCTATTTCTCAACACTTCCACAGTCATTCTGATTGTCCAATGTCATACATTGCTCTGTTTCTTTTCTGGGTCAGCTATACTGGAATAGCATAGTAAAATACATGTGTAATAAAAAATCTGAGGCATTATCATACACTGGAAAGTTTCCTCTACCAAGAGTTAGGCAAACTGTGTTTAAGTCCCAGATCTGCCATTCTGTCAAGAGGAGGCCAGTGATAAGCTGTGACCAATCTTTTCTGAAATAAGGGTTGAGCTAAGTGCTACAATGCTACCTAAAAGATTTATGATTCTATAAGATTAAATCATCTTTGATATAATCTCTGTGTATTAAGACATGAACTTTTTTTTTTTTTTTTGAGTTGGAAACTCACTCTGTCGCCCAGACTGGAGTGCAGTGGCCGCTCCCGGCCACCGCAGCCTCGACCTGCTGGGCTCCGGCGATCCTTCCGCCTCAGCCTTCCGAGTAGCCGGAATTACAGGCATGCGCTACCACGCCCGGCTGATTTTTTGTAGAGATGAGGTCTCGCTGTCCAGGCGGGTCTCGAACCCGCGGGCTCAGGCAATCCACTCACCTCAGCCTCCCAAAGGCGCGGGATTACAGGCTGAGCCACTGAGCCTGGCTCAAGACATAAACTTTTAAAAAAGTTGAGTTTAAAAAAATTTGATGCCTGCTAGGGTAAGCTTCAGTAATCTGAAAATTCCTTTCAGTGGAACATTTTATTCGATCCCGTTGTATACTATTCCATGTCACAAACATTAAGTTGATGAACTGATGAAAAGATAGACTTAAATAAATTAATGGATAATGATTCACAATTGTCAAGGCAAGCAAAAATATTTTGGATAAATTCTAAAACTGAGACTGTTTACTTTGCTTATTGTAAGATGTGCATGCTTCTAAAAACTGATTCTCTTATCTAGATAGTCCTCTAAAATAAACTGTTTTGTGATAAAGATTGTCAAAAGATCTGTGCCACTAATACATGATTTGTTAAACCTAAATTAATTTCCATATATATATATTTGTGTGTGTGTGTGTGTGTGTGTGTGTGTACACACACACA